TCTGACTTCAGCTCAGGTCATGATCTCACCGTTTGTGGGTTTGAGCCCTGTGTCGAGCTCTGTGCTGACAGCTCAGAGCCTGTAGCTTGCTTTGGATCCTGTGTTTCCCTCTCTCACTCCCCTTTACTTGCTCACACTCTGTCTCTCTGTCTCTCTCTGTCTCTATTCCAAAGATGAATAAACATTTTTAAGAAATTTAAATATAGAGAACAAACTGATGGTTACCGGAAGGGAGGTGGGTGAGGGATGGGTGAAACAGGTGAAGAGGATTAAGAGTACACTTACCATGATGAGCACTAAGTAATGTATGGAATTACTGAATCACTATATTGTATGCCTGAAACAAATATAACACTGTATGTTAACTAGGCTGGAATTTAAAAAAAATAAATTAAGAAAATAATAACTAATAAATAGTTACTCTAGATGAAATAATTTGAACAAAATCATGTCTATGAAGGAACCCTCCACTGAGAATTCCTGCCTAGTTTTATTGCTGGTTCCCTACATCAAATGTCATATTGGACCTGCTCTCTGCTCTGTAAATACCAGGTACCAGCCTTTGGCCAAGACCGACACAGGTGTGCCCTGAGGTCTGCATGACACGTCCTGTTAATGTTTCACAGGGACAGTGACTGGTGTTCTTCAAGAGAGGTATTTTGCAGCAGTCCAAATGAGGAGCTAGACAGCAGGATACTTGTCATTGAAAACAGAGACCCCTTTTAGCTATCATTAGCTCTATTCCGTCATTCACTAAGTGAATAGACATATGAGAGCAAGCTTTGGTGGAGCAAGTGGAGATGGAACCTGGAGGTGCTGGGAAGTGCTATGTAAGATGCATGCCCGTGAGCTCCAGAGGTACCCATCACTGTTCTGGAATTGTAGTGGGGTACATCCTCTGGGCGAAGGAATTTCAAGGGGCCTTACAGGGCCATGGACAAGGGTGCAATAGACTTGCCAGGCCTGTGGGCACAGACCATTTTGAATCATATTCATGTAATGATCCTGAGACCCAAACAATGGTAGTGTGTGAAGTGTCCACCACTGGAGGAAGAGCATTAGAAGTCTCTTCGTCATCCTCATTGAGAAGAAGACTGTTGGCTGCAAACTTGGGCCTTCTGAGGAAGATGTTGAGCATGGAGCAGATCTGTTTCCCCCTCTTTGGCAATCTGAGTGATTCCAGGAATTCTGTGCATGGTTTGAACCATACTGGGGGGCGGAATGGTTGGAGAGCACAGGGCCCAGCAGCGAAGCCCAGCCAAGCTGACTTCCCCTAAGACCAACTAGACTGATTCCCGAAGTCCAGAGTTGGGTCACCATGTCTCTTCATTCTTATCTGTTACTCACGTGACCTCTAGTGGCTGTAACTGGTAAAACTTGCTCCAGGGTTGGGTGGTTTTGTGGGAATACTAAGAATAAACGGGAAAATATCTTTTAATGTGCAATACTTGATTACTTCTCTATATTAACCCTTTGCCCTCTTCACGATTCTCCTTCAGCATACATCCCACCATATAATTTAGCCATAATCAACACAATCTGGGTTCCAGACAAGACCCAACTCTGATTGTTACTCTCGCTAATGTAACTTGGGCTGGCCTTAGCATCTGAGTCTTCGTGGTCTAAGCCACTCACAGATGTCATGGCATCGACCCTGACTACATGCCAGGGTTATAATAAGGATCAAATGACATGAAGCCTATATAAATAAATAAAATTCCGTGTAAATGTGCTTGTTATTACTACAAAGCCATTGAGTCTGTGATTCTGTAGACCACGATTGTTTTATTTCATGGCTTGGTGAAGACATTTAAACTCTTTCCTCAAATCCTTTGTTGGGAATTTTGACCCAATCCACAAGCATGTAACAAGTGGCTACTGTATAGGTGTCATAAGGTACCTACTGAGTTATTCAACAAACATGAGTTCCTACCGTATGCCAAATACCCCAGTGAGTACTGGGGTCCAGCAATGAGCAGGACAGACAAGGTCTTGTTCTAATGGAGTTTACACTGGGATGAGTTAAAGGATTCATAATGGTTGAAATTGCCCCTATCCTTGGTTGACAATGTAGCTTAACTGAGAAGAGAAGCTGAAAGAACTAGGTAGGATACAAGCCGGTATGTGAAAACGCTTTCATAGAAGTATAAACAAAGTGCCGTGAGGTGGGGATCCCACTGCAGCATGTGTGAAGGAGTGAAGTTAGAGAAGTGAATGTGGACTCTGCTCTCTGGAAGATTAATGCTAGAGGGATGACTTCTGGGAAATTATTTGGAGACCCGTGAGGTCAACTGGAAAATGATCAACCTGGCAATTTGGTGTCTATTTCTGGGTTTAGAAGAGTTGCAAAAATTGTATGCAGAATATGCCCTTGAAATTGCTTGTTCTTACTTGGTAGACATATTGTTCTTTGAGATTCCAATTAAGTAGTAACCAGATTCACTGGCTGCTCCCTGTTTTAAATATTCACTTTATGGACTGTAGAAATGTTAGTCCTTATACCAAGTGCGTGAGGTATGTACCTCTAGCACCATACCCATTGGCTGATGAAGACGCTGAGATTGAGAAAAAGTAAGGAACCTGCCCAAGGCTATTTGACTGCTACCTAGTGGTGGATTCACACCCACGGGGCTGGTTCCAGAGCTGCATGCTCACCACTGTGCTGTATCATCCCTCAAGGCTTCATTTCAAAAGTCAATGAGAACTTTTAGAGACACATACAAAGCATTCAGGGTAATACTACCTGAGGACTAAGATTGTTTCAAAATATTTCAGTATGAAAGAAAGGAAGGATGAATAGATGGAGAAGTCATGGGGCTAATTATTTGGAGCACCTGGGTGACTTGGGCCGTTAAACATCCGACTCTTGATATCAGCTGAGGCACGATCTCATAGTTTATGAGGTTAAGCCCCATTCTATCAGCATGGAGCCTGCTTGGGGTTCCCTCTCTTCCTCTCTCTCACCTCCTCCCCCATTTAAAAAATCTTGCCAATTATTTAATATAGTTGATAGGTCTATGGGTGTCATTACAGCATTGCCTGTTTCCATAGTAACAAATATAATCAATCCATTGCTAGGATTTTGAAATATTTATTGTCTTACTGTCAAAAGACTTTTTATTAATGACCTGAGTAATTTAGGTCAAGGAAATGAGTTTCACTAAGTTACTGATGGAATGGGGGCTCTGCAGATGGAATGTCCTATGTATTAAAAACCACTTTGCACCTAATTTGCCAAATATCATGGCCGTATGTCTTTTGCTTTAACCAATACGGATCAATCTTTTTGCCAAAAGTATTTGATAGAATAGCAAAATGTCTGAGTTAGAAGGGACCTCAAAGACAACTTCTTCCAAAATTCTCATGTTATGGCTAGGAAAGTTGAAGGACTTAAGTGATCAGCCCAGGATAAGAGTGAGAACATTAAGTGCTTCTATACAGTCAACACATAGCTAGTTAATGGAAGTGAAGGATTAAAACTTGGGTTTCCTGAACTCCAGGGGGTGGGGAGGGTGTCTAATTTCCATCAAAAGGAGCTGTGCCCAGGAAAGGGCTATAGAGCCTACATGGGGACAGGGTCCCCGGGCTTCACCTGTGACTGCAGCTACAGCAGGCCCTCGCCAAGTTAGCAGTCTGGGGGGGAAGATGAAGAAAGACGAGCCACCTTCCGCTTGGGAATGGAAGGGGTCAAATGGATCTTCAGCCTCCCCTAGTGGTTTCCAAACGTTTAGATTTTGTGTGTTTCTCCACGTCCCCTGTTCACATGCCCTAGCTGTGTCTCCCACGGGGGGCACAGCTGGAAAAATCACGGCTGTTGCACCTGAAGATATTTCTCGGTAGTGTATTTGGGGCTCTGTGGCAATGAGACACACCCCTTGATGGGCCGGAAGCCAGGGCCAGCCGCTTCCCAAGAGTGAAGGATGCAGACAGTCTTAACAAAGGTATCTGGAGTCACCGCCACACAGGTCACTGGTCACACAGATCCCAGTTGACCTGATCTCATCCTGAGAAATCTTGTAGGGCACTTCAAAAGCTAAAATCTCACCTTTCCCAAGTGTGGCACATGCCTTTCTATAACAGCGAACCTGCCTTTGTTGGTAGCGTTCCTTCCTTAGGGTCTGGGGGTCTCAAACCACGTGCTCTCAGGACTCTAGCAGGTAAGGTAAAGAATGAAGCTGGCCAGGGGCACCTGGGTGGCTCAGTTGGTTAAGCATCTGACTCTCGGTTTCAGCTTAGGTTATGATTTCATGGTTTCGTGGGTTCAAGCCCCACGTCAGGCTCTGCACTGATAATGTGGAGTTTGCTTGAGAGTCTCTCTCTCTCTTTCTCTCTCTCCCTCCCCTGCTCACACTGTCTCTGTCTCTTGCAAAATAAATAAAGAAAAGTTAAAAAAAATTTAAATGAAGCAGGCCAATGTAAGACCGGGGTGACCTTGGAAGAGCAAGCTCGTTCTCATTCAAAGGTTTTACAGCCCTGTGCTGTCCGTGCAGAAAGGCTGAGCAGGTCAGCCCCACATCGGCAGCTTCTGAGGCAAGGAAAGAATGTGGTGAGGTTCTTCGCCTCACCTGGTGCCCTCGCCAGCGCCCTGGGACCTCGCAGTCCCTGGGACCTTTGCAGAGCCTGTTTTCCTCAACTGCACAAAAATGGGTTTCTAACGCTTGAAGGCACTGCCCCTTCTGACAGTCGGATTCCGTAATCCGTGATGGAGGACATGTCCCCAAAACAACTGGAGCCAGGGTCTGTCTGACATCTGCTTGCAAAGTGCCCACAGGCCTCCTTGGTCTGGGTGACGTTTAGCGCTGGTGTTCTCGAGGCCTTTGTCGGATGGGTTTGTGACATTCTCTTTATTAGCCTTCCGTGCCTGCGCTAAGGGGACGGGCACTGAACCAGCGTTCTGGTACCCCTCTGTCAGAGGTTGCTTTTTGCCAGTGTTCTCTTCTTTCTAGAAGCCGTCATGAGCTGACGAGCTTAGAAAGGGTGTTCTCTTCGTGTTGTTTCAGGGAAAATAGAGAAAGTCAAACCTCCTCCACCCCCCTCACCTGAAGGCCCCAGCTCGCAGCCTGACTTAGCCCCCGAAGAGGCTGCCGGATCCCAGCGGCCCAAGAATCTGATGCAGACCCTCATGGAAGACTATGAGACACACAAATCTAAAAGGCGTGAGAGAATGGATGATAGTAGTGTAAGTTTTTCCTCCTTTCCTCCTTCACTTCTCTGAGGGTGAACGGCGGTGTGGCATGCGGTGTCCCAGGTCAGGCACGGGTGTGCGTGTGCTGCTCTGGCCAGCATCCTGGTTCCAAAACCAGTTTTCAAATGTGTGGTTTAATATGCCTGGAGTTGGGTTTGGGTTTTTTGCCCTGTTTCCCGAAAGTGTTGATCACACGAGGGGAACCGGGTCCTTTTGCTGCCGAGTGTCCCTGGAGCCCTCAGGGGCAGCTGGTGCATGGGATGCTTGGTGTGCGTGTTGGGTGGGGGTGGGGGGGGGCATGTAAGGGCAGCACGAGAGGAAGGACACGACATCCTGACCTCATCCCCAGGCACCAGGGAGCTGATCGCTACCATCGCTGGCCCGCTCCGTAGAGATTTTATTTCCCTGGAGAACTGTGGCAATGCCCTTCCTTCCGTGTCTGTTCTAAGCGACCCCCATAAATGTGCCACAGCGGTGGAAAGGCTGAATGTGTTTTGGGCTATTACCAAGCCTGTGCATACAGTTTGGCAGGAAAGAGATATTTTAAATGACAGTTAGAAACCGCAGGGCTACCCTGTTACCCTCAGCACTCAAGACCGTTGCACGTGACACTCACATGAGCCCCGAAGGAAATCATCTGCTCTGTGGCTTCTTTCTCCAGTAAGAGATGTGAGGGCTGCTGTTTCACATGGTCCTCACTGCCAGGAGCCCAGGGACCAGCCTCAGGGGCCCATGCCCACCTCCTGGGAGTCTGGTGGCCTTAGACTCTCCACATTCCCATCCCCACCCAGTTTCACTTAGTCATAAATAGCTCGACTCAGCTGAAGACACCACCCAATTTACCTGGACAGTCCTGGCTTGTGCCTGTGGTCCTGGTATCATTTTTACCAGCATCCCCTTTCACTTTAAAAAGTGCCCCAGTTTAGATGATAAATGATTAGATCACCTTAAACTTGAATGCTACAGGCTCACAGCAGGATTTCCATGCTGACTTACTGCCTTGCATATCCTGGTTGACTAACTTAAAGGGTTTCTGAAATTGAAGCCAGATACTGAATGATGCTTTTAAAATATTTAGTGGTAAAGAAAGCAAGCACATGTACAGCAGCCTGGTGACTCACTTGCATCCCCAGGCTCCCCCTTGGGTGTATGCCTAAGCTGTCCGGAAAACTGATTCAGGTACTCTGTTAGGCTGGAGCATTCGGGGGCCATTCCTCATCCGCACAATGGACAGGAGCCTGGCCCTTGGGGGTGGCCGCAGACACTTCTGTTGCTTGGGCTCCCTCCCCAAGCCCATAGGGCTTCTGCCCATTAAATCACCTTAACCAGCCCTTCTTTGCAGCCCTACTTAAAATATGGAGTTTACCTTCAGGTATTTTCTGGAGCCTGTGCTTTTGAAGCTTCGTGCTGTAAGTGGCTTCTTTTCTCCCAATGAGTCCACACCATATGTCAGCAGCTCTGGCAGAAGTTGGTTTAGTGGACCCCTTGCCTTCTGGCATGGAAGGGGAAGAACAAATGGAAACACTTTGCATGTGACCCATGCAAGTGTTTTCTGAGCACATTCCGCCCATCTCTTGTGTGTGCCTTTTGTGTTGGAGCGCAGAGATTAGAGGAAATACCGCCCAAAGAAGTGAAGAGCCCACTCGTACTCATTCTACAGGCAGAGGCTGACAGCTGCCTTCATGCAAACTCAGGCTGCGACCAGATCGGATTTCCCCTTTGCATTGAGGAAGCTACTTGGAATCAACATTTTAATATACTGCTTACCCTTCACTTATGCAATGAAGTGGCAACCTCCTGTCTCTATTTTTCTCAAGTAAATAAGCATTTCAGATAAGGAAGAAACCTATTAACTGATTGGGCTGTTAACATCCCCAGATGTTGAAGTCGAAGCCAAGTGTTTTGCACCGTTCTTGAGATTACAAGAGAACCAAGCCTGCTGTTGTGGGAAATTCTTAGGAACAGGACAAAACTTATCCAATGCACTATTATATCCCCTTTTAAGAGACCTGAAACTTCAAAAACATATTCGGATTGCTTCTAAAGCAAGTAGATGATCATCAGCCAAACTTCATTTTAGAGCCACATCTGACCTCATCTCTTAGCCTTTTTAATTCAGGGAATCTTTTCTGCTGTATCTACTCAGTCACTGGAGAATGTGTTGAAGTTTACCTGCAGGAATGAACAAACCTTCGTTTGTTTTCCTAGCCAATCTCTGGCCCCTTCTTTAATGGTCTCTTCTACTGGAAGACGAATAATAGAGAGCAAACGGATTGCTTGATGTTTGACTCTGTAACTGGCTTCCCTGCCCCAGAAGCTGGTAGTTCTGTTTCCCTGGTTTCATTCACCCACCTTATTCTGAGGGGGAAACATGGCTTCTAGATTGTCCACCCTCTGGGAGCCTCCCCCAGCTCACCTGAGTCCAATGTCACCTGACACATCCAGGATTCCTTCCAGTAAGTCACTTGGCAGCACTCTGAGTCCCTCACACATGATCAGGACCAAACCATGTGTTTGCCCATAGGAGGCAGCGAGTTCTTTCTGGTTGGAATGGAAAGAATTCTTACTTGCTTGCTAAGGAGAAGGAAGACCTAAAAACCAAATGGAGCAACCGTGAAAGAAGTATAGTGATACATTAGACACAATGCTATTATTGAGCATGAAGGACAGAAGAAAGAGAAGACAGAGAAGCCAAGGGAAGCCACGCCTATAGTTCTCATGAGTAGTTTGTGCCAGCCCCCGAGAAAACTATCCTGGCCATCAAAACAGATTCATTCCCCCACCCCAGAGCAGCAGTGGTTGCTGGAGTCCTGTCCCCAGCTCGTTTCCAGCTTAAGTTTTCCCACATTATAAAAAAAATCATATGCAGGACAGGAAGGAGGCCTCTGGCTCGTGGATCCTTGCCATGAGGATGGCGTGAGGGAAGCCAGCTGTAGCATTCAGTGGCCTTTTTGATGCCCCTGAGCTGTCCTGCTCTCCTGCTGGAAACAAGGTGACGGTTCAAAGAACGATAGAAGATGAGAAATTAAATCGTGCCTCTCTCTCTTGGAATATCTACCCACAAGTCACTGCATTGGGAATATTAAGTTTTCTGTAGATCTTCTGCTCATTTTGCAGTTGGTGAAAAAGTCAGTGACAAGAGAACAGGAAAAAAGCCCCTTTTCCTGAAACGTTATCCCCGAATGGCCGTCACTAGCTCAGACCTTGAGCAGGTGCCCATCTGCCGGGGACCTTTTTCTGTGTGATGTAGTCACCAGTGAATGTCTCCGTGCTGAAGGTTTCAGCCAGGCCCCACTGACTAATGGACCCCTCAGCTAATTTGGGGGTAAGGAGGTTGCTCTCCTCACCCTTACCCCCTTACCCTGGCTGTTTACCAGCCTTTACAGGACCTTTGCAAGAACGTTTAAAATGGTGCCATTTTTCATCTTCCAGGATGCACCTGCCATGCTGTGAGTGGAGTGGGGGCACTGAACTTCAACCCCCACCCCCTCAGCCTGGTGCTTTTGTGCAGTACTTGCACCGCACACCCAGATGCAACAGTCCTCTTCTTACTGTGGGCTTCTCTTATCTGGAAATGTTTTCTCATGTGGAAATGCACCCTTATCTGGACCCGATGACATCTCTGGTCAGTCATGTAACACATGATGGGCTGATGAATCATAGTTTCCTAGAGGGTTCCTTGATGCCTTGCAAAGGAAGGATATGTGGGCAAAAGTGTTTCTCTGGCCAGCTGTTCTCCCAACCTGACCTGAGGCGAGCCTCAGAAAACAATGGGTTCTTGAGTCAGTGATGCTCTTGAACGGGTTGGTGGGTTTGCTTTCTCTTTCTCAGTTAGTGCTGGCCTACACCCAGGTCACAGGCTCCTATAGGCATTCAGTCCCAGCCCCACAGCTAGCACAGGATCTACTTTTGGTGGGCTTTCTACTCTCTCTCTTATGCCAAAAATAGATACTGACAAGTATTTCAGCCATCCCTGCCTGTCTTGAAATAAGAAAAGGCCTCATGTATTCTCCTGGGCTAAGTCAAAGCTGGGGGCTAGCAGTTATTGCTTTCTTGAGAGTTTCTCGCACACATTGCCCACCAACCCAAGACACCCCGTGGCCCACTCTCACTGGGTGGATGAGGGAAGCGCATCCAGGGCCCCACATCCCAGGCTCCACGGGAAGCCCAGCTCACAGTCAACAGTGTTTCCTGCTGCCCAGATTCCTCCTGCTGCTCACACCCTGCTCGGGTGCGAAAAGGGGATGAAAACTCCAAGTTCATCAGCCCCTAGTCATCAGCCCAATCAGTACAGAACTATCATTTTTAAGCTCTTATACATTAGAAGCAGTTAATGACCACAGACATATGATCCCACCTAACCAGCCTATGACTGCCAACCCCAAGAATCAAGAAACGCCTCCGGTGCCCTAGCTGTGTAAGTGTGAGGTCATCACCACACTTCCAGCGGAGGCTGGCCAGAGTCGGTTCTTCTGCGTCACTTCCCATAGCTGGCCCATTTTTTCCCTGAGCTTTTCTGGTGGAGGCTTTTAGACTCCTACAGGTACTAAAGGGTCACTTTAGCTGCTACGTGATCACCCCGCTCCCAGGAACTTATCCAGGCTCCCAAGCTAGCGATGAGGGAGGCTGTGGGCCTTCCCCAGGCAGTGCCGTTCACAACTCCACTGCAGAGAATCTGCCTCTACACACCTCCGAACCAGATCAACTCCTGCCTGTGGTTGGGGTCTTCGTTTTGTGGGACAATGGGCTCCGGGACTGCTGTGGGCTCAAAGGAACTACAGGAAGCGTAAAAGCTGTTTGGCTATAGATTCTAGCAAATCCAAAATGGCCATCAGAGACCTTGCTGGTGGGCAGCTGGTTGCATACCGGGGCAGGGCAGAATCTTGTTAATTCAAAGCACCGAAAATGGAAGCCACAAATCTTGAATTAACAAAGTATGGCTCATCTGATATTTTTATTAATGAATAACAGGGTTATCTCCTTGCTCCTAAACT